TGATCTGCTTTGCGCCTTCTAGATCAAGGTGATCTCCTTGCGCCTTCTAGATCAAGGTGATCTAAAATTAGATCAAGGTGATCTGCTGTGCGCCGGGCAATTTAGAGGTCACAAAGTCACCTTCCTCAGCTATTCCTATGGAGCTTCCAGGGTCACTGTGTCACCCCAGGCATTTTTCTTTTCATAATAACAGGAAGGAAGTTGCAATTTAAGACCTTTTACACCAGGCATTTTGTGACAATGTTGTAAAAGAATGACTTAGTAATTAGTAAATTACAATACAGGGGGTGCACCTGGATTGCCAAAGCTACCAACAAGGCATTGATGACAGCTACAAAATGGAAAGGGCTCCGGACCAACTTATTTGCAGGAAGATGGGTGAGTCTTACCATTAGGCTTGGAAGCCCCTCTGGGTGGGCCTGTCATCAAGCTGTATTAGGCCAGCAGCTGTATTAGGGCTTTTCAGTGATGGCCTAGTTCAAAGCTCCCTAGGAAAGCATGCAAGGCCTTTACTTTGCTTCTTTGGAAAGTGCTTTTTTCCAGGAAACTTTGAGCTAAGTTCTGTAGTGGCCCAGCTCATGTTCAGCTGGTGCTGTTCTACGGCATGAGAAGGAGATGGGGAGCTTTTCATGATCACAGGAAAACATTCTTCCCAATATTTTGAATGGCGGCCACATGTTCATCTGGAGCAGTGATTCCCTAAGTGGGCAGTAGAAAGATCCAGTGATAGGTTGTTTTAAATTTGCAGTAGAGCGATAGACCTAACACAGAAAAAGAGGTGTGGGGGGTGCCCAAGAGAAAAGGCGGAAGCCCAAAAGAGTTTGGGGGGCACTGATCTAGAGACTCAACTTGCTGCTGTGTCATGAGTTTTACAGGGTCATTTACTCTTTAATATGATACATGAGGCATCTGGGAATGGTTGGACCAAAAAGCATGCCATTAAAATGTTGAAATCATAAGCAGAATCTAGCACAATAGTCTGAAGTGGCACCATCCAACCACTGCTTAGTCACATCTTCATGAGGATTAAAGTTAAATATTGCCTTCTCTTCGGGAACTGTGCAATTGTCCAAAATAAGACATCGAGCTTCAGCCACTTCATTCTTTGTTTTGATATATTTTTAAACTATTTCCACTAAATTGGTCTGAGGGCCCTTTAACTGGATTACAGTAAAATAAAAACATATAACTATGACAAAAAAGCAGCGGTTAAGCAAACTAAAAACAGGAAACAGTTGAGAGCAATTGAATTAAAACTGTCAAGAAACAATTATTAAAATGCCTAGAGAACAGAGTTGCTTTTGCCCGGCACCAAAAAGATTGTAACAAGGGCACCAGGCAAACTGCTTTCGGGAAGCTGTTCCACAGGTAGCTTTGACTCCAGAGAAGGCTCCACTGCTATTAGCCCTCCTCCTTACCTCCTTGGAGGAGGCTCCAAAACTGATGTGAAGGGCCCAGTAACTACATAAGGGGGCAGGTGGTCCTCCAGGTACCCTGGTCCCCAGCCATTTAGGGCTTTATATGTTAGAACAAGCAGCTTAAATTGCTCCCAGAGCTCAACTAGCAACCAGTGAAGTATTGGAGTCACATAGGCATGCAATCCTGCTTGAACCAGCGGTTGTGTCACCCAGCTCTGTACCAGTGAAGTTTCTGGACTGTCTTCAAGGGCAACCCCACACAGAGCATATTACAGTAGTCTAGTCGAGAGGTTGCCAAAGCATGGGTGACTGTGGCTAGGCTCTGCTTGTCCAGGTAGGGCTGCAGTTGGTAAATTAATTCTAGCTGAAAGAAGGCCCTCCTGGTCACTGAGTCTACCTGGGACTCAGGTGATAGTTTTGGGTTCAGGAGCACCCCCAAGCTACAGACTCTATCCTTCAGGAAGAGTGTGACCCCATCCAGGACAGGTCTGCCCACTCTGGGCAGACAGACCATCCACCAACAGCATCTCCATCTTATATGGATTGAGCTTCAGGCCATTATCAATCTCAGGCGGTGATTCAGAATGGAAACCAACTCACCTAGGTTAGATGAAAAAGAGATTAAAGCTGGGTGTCACAGCATACTGATGACACCTCAGCCCCCATCTCTGAATGACTCTCCCAGCACCTTCATGTATATGTGAAACAGCATGGGGGGCAGTATAGAGCCCTGAGGAACCCCAGAGCGTAATCGCCGTGGGGCAGAGCAACTGTCCTCCAGCACCACCATCTGGACATGTTCGGCCAGGTAGGAATGGAACAACTGTAATACAGTGCCCCCAACTCCCACCCCCGCCAGCCTGTCCAGAAGGATGCCGTGGTCAATGGTGTTGAAAGGTCCAGGAGAACCAACAGGGTCACACTCCCTGTCCCTCTCCTGCCAAAGGTCATCCCATAGGTCAGTGATGGTGAACCTTTCAGAGACCGAGTGCCCAAACTGCAACCCAAAACCCTTATTTATGGCAAAGTGCCAACACTGCAATAAAACCTGAACACTGAGGTTTTAGTTTAGAAAAAACAACTCACAGCCAGTCCAAGCCAATATATATATATCCTTGGCAGCGCACTGACCGGCCATGCGAAAGCTTGGACAAGTCGCGCCTTGTGACGTCATTGCCTGGCGCTGCTACTCCTTTCCGAGCATGCGCATGGCCCCTATGTGCACTGGTGTTCGGCTGCTGGGGCGATGCTGGGGCGACTTGGCTTGCGTGCCGACAGAGAGGGCTCTGTGTGCCCCCTGCGCAAGCGTGCCATAAGTTTGCCACCACTGCCATAGGTCATTCCAAACCCCAGCATGAAACCCAATTGAAATGAATCAAGATCCAGGAGTGCCTGGAGCTGCTCAGCCAGCACCTGCTAAAGTTTTTCTCTGCACTTTTTATTTATTAATTCAGTTTCATTTCTTGACAACCCAATGGCTGAAGTTCTTTAGGCAGCTTTGCTCAGTTCATAAAAACAAAGACAACAAATACAATAATGTAAAGCAAGGTATTTTTCCAATATACAAAATTTAGAGTACAATCCCTTGTTATTTTCCCAACATTTTAATATTTAATTGGTTTTATCTTTGATTTTATCATTAATTGTTGGATGCAGTGTGTTGTTTGTTTGTATGTATGTTGTTTTCTGTGTAGGTTTTTTTTTTTTTTTTTTGCAAGCCGTCCACTGTGGTATTGGATGCCATATAAAAACTTTAAATAAATACATGCCTATTTTGACAAGAAAAGGGCCCGTAGCTCCCAGCATTCCTCCAGCCAGTAAGTCTAACCATGCATACGATTGCACACTTAAGGATTTGTGGGTCCTTCTCCCCAACAAAACAGCAGATTATGCATGCTAGGAATGGTGGGCCCCTTTTCTGTCTAAACATGCCTCCGATTGTGCGTCGGGGAACAGAAGGGCTTTCTTTAGCCTCAGCTTGGGCCAGTCCCAACTCTCAGCCCAACCACACTCCACAGGGTTGTTGTTGTGAGGATAAAACAGAGCCATGTAAGCAAGCTGCCTTGAGTTCTTCACAAAGGCAAGATATAAATGCAATATAATAATATTACAGCAATAATAATATGCGTATATTCAATAGACATGATGTAGTGGCCAAGAGCATGGGTTGGCCTCTAGGCTGGAGAGCGGGGCTCTAGTCCCTGGTCAGCCATGAAGCTGCCTGGGGGACTCTGGGCCAGTCACTGCCCCTCAGCCCAACCTGCCTCACAGGGTTGTTGTTGTGAGGAGGAGAGGAAGATGAGAATGGGGTAAGCCACCATGGCAAGGAAAAAAGCCAGGATATACATAAAATATGTAAATGAATGAAGTCCTTTAGAACTAAAGGCGCAATTCTAGGCAAGTGTCGCCAGGGGACAAAAGGCCTACAACTCCCAGCCTGCCGTGCGGGGAGTTGCGGACCTTTGCTAGCCTAGCATTGTGGCATAGGCGCCTGTCACAAAGCCCCTTCAGCACAGGCAGGACCGCCTCACCCAGCGGAGCCCGCCGCCGAGGAGCATCCCGCCTGCAGCTGAGGCCGGGCAGGCGGGGCTGGAGGCCGCGGCAGGGCCGGCGAGGCGAGGCCAGGCCGGGCGGTCGCCATGGCAACGGGGCGGGCCTGCCCGGCCTTGCCGGGCGCACCGCCCTCGCTCACTTACTCCGCCGCCGCCGGCGCCGCCCCGCCTCGAGCCGGTGGGAAGGCGGGGCCAGCGCGGCCCAAGGCCCATCCGGGAACGACCCTGGCGGTGGCGGAGCAGCGGGAGGGCAGTTCCCCTTTCTCCGGCTGTCGGCCTCCCAGCCAGGCGGCCGCTTTCGCTCCTCGACCGCGCGCCCAGCCATGGCGCCCACCGGCGACTGGGAGGGCTACTGGGGCCCGCCGACGTCCACGCTCGACTGGTGCGAGGAGAACTACGTCGTCTCGTACTACATCGCCGAGTTCTGTGAGTGGGGCCGGGGGGCGGCCGGAGCGCGTTCACACGTACACACGGGAGCCCTCGTGTATCCCCCCCCCCCAGCCAGCCACCCACGCACCCCCGTGGCCAGGCCACGGGGATCGGTCGCCCCTGGGTCCTGAGCACGGCAGCAGCGGTGCGCGCGGGCTACTCCGGCGCATCGAGGGGCGCCCGTTCGCACGTGCTCGCGGGTTCCGGGGTGCCCCTTGCGAAATGCCGCTTTCCCCTGCAGGTGTCCTGTCTGGGCGTGGGACGGCGTCGCCTTGCAACACGCGGAGGAGGCAGCTCCGTCCGAAAGGCTTGCCTGTAACACTAGGCATGCTTCCCGGGGGCTCTCGCCAACCCCCATCCTACCCCTGTGGGGGTGCCCCCGGCGGGAGGCGCCTTCGTCAGAGACAGTGTGGTACAGTGGTTAGACACTGGAGCGGGACTCGGGAGATGCAGGCTCAAGTGCCCATTCAACCCTGGAGCCCACTGGGTGACTTGGGCCAGTAACTGACTCGCAGCTTAACCCACCTCTGTGAGGATAAAATGGAGAGGAGGAGCAGGATCATGTAAGCATCCTTGGGAAAAATGAGATATGCCTGTCTAGAGGAAAAATAATTGAGATATACATATATTCAATAAATCATAGGAAGAACTAAGTGGGGTCTTTTTCAGATGCTTTGGGCATATTTGGGGCATGCTTTTGTATATAGATTGGGGAAATAATTGTAGGGTGGGGAGATGTTTGTAATAAGCCACTCCATTCTAGGGAATTTGGAAGGGGTGGCGGCAACTACATACCTGTGATGGGAGAAATACTTGCAAAGGCATTTTTAACTACCTTCTCTTTGCTAACCTCCAGCCTAAGCCACAAGCAATATTTTAGGTGAAGTTTTATTTTGACCTTTGTACCTTGTGGTTCCAGAAAGCATGCACCTAAAAACTTATCCAAAACAAGTAGTATGTTAATTAATTTTGGAGCCATCAGCTAGCTCTCTGGGCTGTTAACAGTTATTAGAATACAATAAAATATGATGCAACCCTCCCAGCCATTAGTGCTTGCACAGCAACTTATGGGATGCTGTGCATTTAGTTGTTTCTATTGTTTGTTTACCAATATAAACAAATGGATATTGTGTGTTTCACTTAAGTCTGCATTTACTGCACAAAATACACATTATAAGTGTGCTGAAGTAGTAGGATTAGCACAGATAACACAAAAAGCAATTATGTTAGCCCAAGACTCTTGTACTAATAAGTATTTCTTCTGTGAGGTAGATTTTTCAGTAGGCTTGTTTAGCACCTTCTGGTGCTTGAAGGTCTACGTATTTCTTGACTATTATAAAAAGCTTCTTAGGTTTCCAGAGATCATGAGAGGGAGAGAAGTAGAAAAGATGGAGAGGACTGGTAGGATTCAGAGGAGAAATTCAGTTGTATCTCCAAGCAAAGCTGGCTGGGCAGTTTGAGTAATGTATGTTGTTGATCACCGCCTGTCTCAATATTGCATAATTCAACTTTACTGTTTTTCTACTTTATTTCTAAAAATAGGAGAGTATAAACTCTGCATGTTTTACCACATAAAGGGTAAAACACAGTCCCCACCCTGCTGTAAATTGCTCAGAGAGCTTTGTCTATTGGGATGTATAGAAATGAAATAAAAAACAATGTTTGTGCTATACCACATCCAGACCCAAGGAGAAAGTTTTCAAAGCTGCCAGCTTGGGGAAATGGAGGGAATACGGCACAACCAGCTTTCCAAATGTCCTTATCCCTTCCTGTTGATAGTTTTCTGTTGCTTTAAAAAAATCAGCTGTATTTTCTTTAAAAAATATCCCTTTATTTGATGTTTGCACAGTTAGTGTGTCCATATGTACTGGGACTGCAAATAAATCAATTTGGTGCAAGGAGCAACAGTCAAAAATTAGTTTGCTAAAATTGATGTACCTAGCAATATATAGAGAACCTGCTGTGTTATCAACATCCAGGGAGCAGGATGCAGCCACATTAGGAAGCAGAAGTGTGGTTTGCGGTGGAACATTGTTTTGCTAGTAATGGATCACCTAAAGCGTTCTCATTGCAGATGATTAAGGTGGAGTTTGGTCTGAGTGCAGATACCCTGAAACCCCGAAGAGGCTCTGGTTGCCAATAAGCCAAGAGTGTTTGCAGTGTCTGATTTGGGTGGGAGCAAATACTCCAGTTGGACTGATTCCAGCGCAAGTGTGGAATGCCCTGTGCTTTGCAGAGTCATGAGGAATATCACATGGGACAATGCAGTAGATATCTCACATTTACTAAAAGTGCGTGGAGGATGATTCACCTTGTAGGTCAAAGAGAATGAACTTTTGTGGGACAAAATGCATTCTAATAGCTTGCATCAGGGAGCAAAGGTATTTTCCAAGGGATAGTATGTCTCAACTACTGGCCCTGAAAAGATATTATGGGATAGGAAAATCCTATATCATGAGGTCTGTAGGACAGTTCCCACTTTCCTATTTGTGAGTTCAAAGGGGCAGCATGCTGGCTGTTCAAAGATATGGAGTGCTGGAGCAGATGGCTAAAAAAATCCCCACTTAAAATATGTGCCAACATCAAGTGACACATTCTTGCCTTTCCTGGGGAAGATAAGTGGCCTGGTCCAGATGTCAAGCAGCCAGCTGTCCAATCATGTTTGGAGTGCCCTTCAGATTTCTGTGCTCCGTCCTCCCCTCGTGCGTATAAGTTTCTTTTTCCAGTTTCTACTTTCCTTCAATGCCTGAATCAAGCGAACTGAGGTCAGCATGAACCGGGGATTGCCTTCAAGCCATGATGTGAAACTCGCACCACGCTTTGGAGGCAGTTTCCACCTGGTGCTGACCACAATTTCCCCAATCTGGACATCAGGACAAGCCATAACAGGATGAAGGTCCCACATTTAAGCACATGCAGCCAAATGATAGTTGGATTGTCAGCTGCCCTAACATCTAGTGGAGTCATTGAGTTTATGAAGGAAGCTGAAGCAAGGAACAGTTTGTGAAAACTCGAGAGGACAGATTCATCAAAGTGACTTTATGACTCAGTTAGATGCAAAGATCTGGTACTGCCTGCTCCCAAGAGTTCTAAAAAGAGGGTTTGCTGTAAGAAAGTTTACTCTAACCCAGCGCTGCCAGTTTCACTGTAAATTTGTCACGGTTCTGATTCCATATTTTGGTTGATCACATGCTCACTGGGGCATCCTAGAAGCACACTCGGAGGGAATTGAGTTGGAGGAGGCTGCAGATGCTAATTTTTAGCTGCTCTGATCAGATAACAAATATGTAGCACAACATCTGGAACTTTTTACAGGTAAGAAGGTCAGAGTGGATGAATGGAAAAAATTGTTCTGTGGAGATTTAATAATGTCAGAAATGGCAGAGTCATATGTGTATTGTATTATGTATCTTGTTCCCGAGCACTTAATTTGGCTACATTTGGTGATTAGAGTGTTGGACTGGGGACTTGGGTGATTCAGGTTGTCGTCCCCCCCCCCCCCCCGCCGCCATGAAAATCACTGGGTGATTATGCTCAGTCTCTGCCCAACCTACCTTACACGGTGGTGGTTGTGGGGATAAAATGAAATAGGGGAGGACTGTGTAAGCTGCTTTTTGGCTCTTCACAAGAGGAAAAAGGGCACGCTATAAATGCAGTGGAGATTGCAAGTCTGTCTGAGCTACCTCCATGGTATCTGTGGGACTGTGCTTGGGAAATGAATAGGACACAAATCAAGTATATCACATGAATCAAGTTTTGATCAGGGTTCCACACCCCTCCTTGCAATGGCAGGAGGGAAACCAGACCACCAGTGCGTCTCCATCTCCCTCCTTCAACTTGCAGCAGGATGTGGAATTGATTGGAAGGGACTTACTTCTGAGACTTACATAGGATGGTGATGTTAATGACTAAGTTTAAATGTCTTCTTTAAATGCAGAATAAGGACATCTCCTGTTCAGCCTATTGTTTGCCAGTCTGCTTTCAAGAAACATAATTAGTTTTCAGCATCTCCCTTGCTGTTCAATTCTGCACATGTCTAGTGTTCAGACTAGGAGGTTCCTTCTTAGACTCCATGGGAACCCCAAATGGAACTGGGTATAGTTACCCAATTTTCTGTTTCCTCTTTTACCGCATTTTATTTTTAAAAGGATATTTTAAAAAGCTACAATAGAAGCTCAACTAGACTATATAGGATGCATTAGGCAGGATTCAAACAGGTGCAAGAGGATGCCATGTGGTTAATGAGGCACATCAAGGAGCCTGCATTAGGAAAAGGGTGTCCTTCTGCAAAGTAGAAGGCTGCCTAAATGAGAAAAAGAGAGAGCATGAGCTCAGGCGTGCAACCCTGACAATAAGGAAAAAGAACATGTAATTAAGAAGCATAGATTTCCTGTTTATGATAAGCATCTCGGGACGCCCCTGGAATGTTACAAGTGAGAGAAAGATGATGAGGGAGGGTTGGGCCATAATGTAGGGGGTAAATTAGTTCGTTGCTTTGATCGTCAGTGCAGAAAATGTTGGCCTGATACCCATTCCTGAGCTGCCTTGGGGGTATGCGCTGAAGGAGTCTGAAGAACTGTGTCAAAGAAAAGTTAAGAGATGAAGGCTCTCGGGCCACCTGACAAATTGCAAAAGAACACATCAGCAGGACTGCAGTGCATGGACTCAAGAATTCTAACTCAAATGTGTAATTGTTGCTCTGCTAATAAAAGTGCACAATCTGTCACTCGCTGGCCTCCTTATTGGAGGAGGAAAAGTGGCCTCCCACTTTATTATATATTGCTGTTAAATTGGTATCTTGGAAATGTGTTGCTTTGTGCTGCCAAGTTGTCTCCAACATCTGGTGATCCTGTGAATGCCATCTCAACCTTCTGTCCTTAACAGTCCTGCTCAGCTCCTGTAAACTCAAGGCAGTGGCTTCCTTTGTGGAACTATCTCATATTTGGTCTTCCTCTTCTTCTTTTGTCTTCAGTTTTTCCTCACATAGTTGTCTCCTCCCATGAGCTTTGCCTTGCAAACCTGTTAGTAACTTGACTGGGTAGAGTACTAGTGTCATTAATAGTTTACTCATTAAACACATAAGAACAAGTCCTATTGGAGGATTTACTTGGAAAGAGAAACCCTGTCTCACCAGTCTCTGACAAATGTTTGAGAGTGCCAGCAAGACCATAAATTGAATTATCCAGGGAACATACTTCCCAACACTGTTGACCAAGCCCTTCACCAGAGCTTCCAAAGCAAACTTATTTGTTTGTACATATTTCAGCCATCCAGTATACAATACATTAATAACATCAAATTCCAAACTTTGCGTCATGAGATGAGAGTACAGATTATTTTATACAAAACGGATTAAAGAACAGGAAGCAGAGGGTAGGAATCAGTAGGCAATTTTTAACAATGGCAGGAAGGAAGCAGTGGCTTGTATTGAGGCGAGTGGTTTGTTTAACTTAAGAATATATGGAATGAGCTAGCCCAGTATGGATGACCGCAAGTTCAGGAAGATGAAAACCCAGGCTCGAACAGGATCTGAGGGACCAGTATGGTAACAAAACCTTCAATATTAGTAAGTGTAAAAGGGCTTCTTTGAATTGGATGCAATTCAGAACCATCTGGTGGAGGGTAATCTTAGATGTGTATTACATCATTTGGGGAAACCTGAAGTGGGATGGTGCAGATTGGTGTCCTGCAACAGCAGGGGGTTGGACCTGATGCCCCCCCCCCCCTTGGCCCCTTCCATCTCTGCTATCCTGTGAAGTTGACTGTAGGGTCCATATTTCCATTTTCTTATTTGCCATCATCACCTGGAGGTACTGTACATTAATGTGCATTGTCCAAAAGTGACCATCGTAATTGGAGGTACTTGGAATTTTATACTGTGCTTTATTATATTTGCATTTGATTGTATCTTTTGTATTGGATTAATTGTTGTGAACTTCGGTCAAAGGTGCTCCAGCTGTTGGGCAGTATAGAAATGAAAATAAACACGTTACAGCAAAAAAACTCACTAGCTATACTGATGGGACCTGAACTGCTTTGTGATCACCCAGAAAAGAAACCTTGGGCTTATCGTTTATAGCTCAATAAATATATTGGCTCACTGGGCTACAGTAGTTATTTTATTTTAAAGCAGTGCATAGAGGTAAAAAGTTGAAATAAACTGTGAGTAAATAATGTCTTTACTGTGCATCTGCATTTGGAAAATTGTGTGCAGTTCTAGACGCCTGTAGAGGTAGAAAAGATGTAGAAAAGGAAGAGCAAAGTGATCATGGGATTGGAGCACATTTCTTGTGGGGAAAAGCTTTCAGTTTAGAGGAGAAAAAGAACATGTCAGTTTATAAAGTTATGCATGCTGTAGAGTCTCTGTTAGGGTCATCAGTGAAACTGATGCTTGAACATGAGATAATTTCTTCACCCAGGGCATAATTAAGTATTTGTTGCCATAAGATGTGGCTACTAGGTTAGATGGATGACTCCTCCAGAGAACTCCTTTTAAAGCAATAATTTTAAAGCGCTCACAATACCTTCATGAACTTTTGAATAACAGAGTGGATTCAGCGATGCCTTCGTGCCATGGTTTTGGTCTTTCCAGAAGCGGAGGTTGGTCAGTGTTGGAAATAGAGCTTTGCACTAGATGGATCCTATTTACCAGAATGCTTTCTGTTTCATCTCTTTGGTTTCTTTGGATGCTAGATGGACGCTCTTCCCCACATTTTATCTTTTATGTTTGCTTTTTAATATGTCTTGCATTTAGCAGTGTACAATGTGAAGGGTTCATCAGGAAATGTATTCAGGTCTGTGTCTGACTGATACAGTGGAAGAACCTTGAATGTTGAAAAAAATCCATTGCTCATGCTGGAATTGGTCCAAGTTACAATAGAAGGTTCATTTATGGCGGAGAGGCGGTCCTTGTGATTCAGTCCGTCATGCAGCGCTTTTTTCCCACCAGACTAAACCCTAGTCCTTGCTGATGGAATATTAGAGTGCACATAACTCTTTTTGATAAATACTATTCAAAATAATTTGTAAAAACAGAGCAGTAGTGGATGCTAGGTATTAGGATATTCAACACAATGCCAGCCTAATCTACAATCCAGTGTCAACATTCCAGCATCCCAGATGTGGGAATCAATATAAAATTGGTTGTGGTTTTCATTGTCTTTAGTTTTTTCTTTTTACATCCTTGTTGAATTGCATTTTAACTTTTATGCTCACTCTGTTACTACCAGAAATTATAATTTAAATAATTATAATACCTCTCTTCCATTCCACAGCATAATCATATAAGAAATTGGTTGGATCAGATCAAAAGACTATCTAACCTAGATCCAAGCTTTCCACAGTGGCCAACCAAGGCATCAAGGAAGCGGCCTTGTCTTGCTAGTTGCCTTTTTGGTATTTGCTGGAAGGCAAGTAGCAAGAGAAGGTTAAGGTTAGAGTTTCATGTCTCCGCCCTCTTTGTTTTTGTTTGTTTATGGTATTGATAGGTTGTCCCAGAGCAATGGGTTCTCAGGAAAGTTTATAGAATAATAAGTTAAAATCCACAATATTAAAATCAATAATGCAATATAGAGTAATGCTGCATAAAAATTGAATCAAACATGGGAACTAGCATAATTTGAAAAGGAACGGCAAGGCTGTTGCCTGACACGAAATGGATATTAGAGTAAGTCCCAGGCTAGCCTTCAGATTTGCTGGACTTCTCCTCCTCCATGTACAAGTCTGATCTCCTTTTTACGACCTTCTAAACCTTGGGAAACATTCTTGGGACCCCCACAGAAAAGAGTGGGAGCAAAGTTTCTGCGTGTGTCCTCTGCTCAGATAGAATTCTGGCTGGGGAGCTGGAAAGGCAGCCTGGCTTGGAACGCCATGTCCTAACTTCACCTTCTGTGCAGAAACCTGAAGCCCCTTGTTTGTTCTGGCCCTCATGTGGATGCTTCCAGATCACGGTTGCTTCCAGATGGAGGATTCAGGCTGCCAATCAAAAGGCATTGTGCAGGTATTCCTTCTTTCCCACCCTAGTGGATCCCCCCCCCCCCTCAGTAAAAAAGAAGTTGGATGAAGCAGTGAGTCAGCAAGGCAGGATTTACAAATTGATGGCAGTTTCCATCTCTGCCCCCTGTAAAATTCCACGGAGGAGGCAGGGCATTTGCACTGTAACAGCCTCATCTGGGAGCACCTAGAACGAGCTCTGGAAAAGGGGCTGGAAGTGGGGATTACAGAGCTGGCTCAGCGGTTAGATTTTTGCTGGGTGAAGGCCCTGGGAGCGAACATGCTGAGGTTCTAGCTGTATGGCTGCAGACCCCAACAGTGCA